AGTAATATCAACTCTTTCAATTTGTCTTTTAGTTTGGAATGGGGAATACTTGTGTAAAGTGTAGAAAATTCAAATGTTTTAATACTATTGCAAGATGAGAGAGTCTTAGATTGTATGTACTCTAAAAGATCTTTTGAATTTTTTAGTATCCACATCTGATTCATGCCACCTCTAGAATAGGCAGTTTCACAATAACTTTGGAGCCCGGCTTTGTAACCTTCATCAAATTAACCTTTAACTGGCACGGGCTACGCTTGGGCTAATTAGAATGTTTGTTTATTAAAAAGAAAAAAATGTCAATATTTGAATTCAAAGTGAAACAAGGCCCTTTATGAGATACGTAAAAAATTTGCAGAGAATGACATCTCTGTTTACATTGTGAAAAGCTTTTCTAATGTCAATGAAACAGTCAAATATTTTTAGAATATTTCTAAAAGCTTTATCAATTATATTTTTAAGTGTTAAAATGTGTTAGCTAGTTCTACATCTTATTTTTTCAATCTAATGTGTTCATTGCAAATAATCTAATTATCTTCTAAATATTTTTCTAAACGATTATATAAAACTCTGGAGAAAATTTCTACTTCTGTAGTTTGAAGGGTTATTAAAGTCATATGAAACAAGTTTTTGGTTATTATTATGTTTAGGACATTATTGTACAAATACATACATATATATATATATATATTAAACTATGTCCTCAGTCTGTGGACGTGTTTTTTTAAACATTTATTTCGAATCCATACAGTATAATCGACAAAAAAAAATGTCTATCCTGTGATTGTTGATCAAACATTTTACCTGCAAATAAACTTTCTGGTATTGGTGCCGAAGTTTACCGATCGTTACCTATTGATAAACAATCAACCCAGAACCATGATAAAGATTCATAGCAAAAATTGATAGATAGATAGATTGAAAACACACCAAGAAATAGTTATCTCTCTTTAAATGGTAGAGAAGCGATCATTGATAAAACGACCAAATTGCTCATATTTACACAGGCCAGGCATGTATATTAACTACTACATCATCTAAAATATATATAATTATTCCTTTTATACATGTTATATATTACTGGAAAATATCAAATGAAAGTATGTTCTTCTTTCTTAAAAGTCAATACATCCTTTCCTCGTGAAAAAAATAACCACAGAAAAACCCAAAACAAAACAATTATAGAATCATATCAATATAAACCAATAATTTGAACAAAACGTGTCCATAACTTCAATATTAATCTGAACAAAGTTATTTCACCTTCATCATACTATTCTTCTAAAATTTAAGTAAATTTTAATCAATCGAAATTATTATCGCTTTAGTTCATTAGCAAGAGCAGAGGCAATGCCTTATGCTAAGACTGTCATCTGACTTTAACTCAAGTCTCTATCCATATCACACCTGTTTGAGTTCTTGTATTTGATGTTCTTCTCGTGTTAACATTCTTGTATTGGTAATTGTTATTATAACGTGTGTGTCCTTGATACGAGTTTTTATTGTTGTGTGTACATTTGTAAGTACTGTCTCTCTTGATTCATTATTGTCTACGAGGGAGCAAAGTGTTTATTAGATTTCCAACAAGCACCTTAATTCCTTGATATTTGGACAAACGCGTCGCATCGTGGTATAAATGTTCATTAATAACGCCATTTTTAGTTATGAAGTTACTGTTTGGGCAGATATGAATTCCTAATGTTCTTACAAATTTTACGATTATCATTTTATTAAATGCATTAATTTTCCCAGTAAGTTTAGTGAGTTTGGTTGGAATAAAGAAGGGTAGCCAAGACATTGTACTTGTTTTAATTACACCTGACAGTTTAACTTTAACTGCAGATAATAAAACTACCCATTTGTTAAATTACCCTTTCGTCGTTAATTTTCCCGAAACACAATTACACTAACTTACAGTCAAATATATATAGTTCAATTTTTACAAAACATTAAAATAAATACATTATATTCTTCAAGTCTGGTCGAACTCTTTTAAATGTGCCAAGAATTATTTATATAAATTTATTGATAATCACTTAAAATTACACCAAGGTTCCTTCACTTCCAAAAATCGTGGCTGTGAATTAGTCCATCCCACACGGCCAAACGGACACCCAACTTTGTCAAGGGTTTTACTGCTGGTCAAATGAACACCAAGTTGATAATTTCGATACTCTAGACACCTTTGAATAAGATTGTTATTTGACCATTGTACTGCACTTCATCACTTGGATCATTATAATGTGGTAAAGGGAACAACATGACATTAATATAGGTATCATTTCTTTTGCCATTTCATTTTCAGAAACCGATTCCTTTAGAACCTACATCAATTATGTTGTTGTGAATAAGTTTGAATGATTTTTCATTTTTCTAATTGCCTGTCCGGTCGATTACTCTGTTGATTTTGATTCCGTATGACACAGGCGAACATTTTATCAATTACGTGAAATGAACACTCATTGAATTTAACAGTTCAACTTTACTATGTGAAAACCGGTTATCACTACGGCAGATACAATAGGATAATTGTTCCCGATTTGCCATTAAGTCACCCTATTACTATCGGGTACAGCAGATGTGTGTCTGCAGTTCCCATTGCATTTCAATACAATGAATTTTGCAATCGTGTACAAGGCATGTGATTTTGATCTGTGGTACTAATATTGCAGCTACAGTACCAAAAGCCAGTAAATGAGGTGCAATAGATAAAAAGAAATGTGGCATTAAAAACAATCAGATAGCAAAATTGAAAAATGAATTTAAATTCTATTTCAAACGCAGGGTGATTAAAAGCCAATAAAAACGCAACAACTGAGTGTATTTTTTCTTTATCTAATAAACATTCATGACCAATCATTGTATGATTTTGAATACTTCTTGGATATGCATACAAAATTTTTCTAACAAAATTCCGAGCTTGTCGTTTTAGAGAACCTTACCTTCACACATTCATAATTTTATCAAAACAAATATGAAAGTTATATACCGAATGGCAAAATTCAATTATTATGCACATCCCTAGCAAAGATTTTAAAAATAAAACACAGTTAAACTAATATCATTCTATTGACATGACATTGTAAGAACCACATAATAAATACCTTGTTTTTTTTCACGGAAATATGGAAATATAACAAGATATTTTAAATTTCTTGTTTTGCCTTTTGGTTTGAGTTCTGGGTGCTAAATAGTCACTAATTACTCGACCATTTATTTAGAAATAGAGGGGAAGGAAAGCAAATGATGTATCTCGACGATAGTTTAGGTACACACTTTGATAAACAGATTTGTCTTAATATTTCTTAGAAGTAAAGCAATATTTAATTAACAGCGGTTTTGTACCAAAGGTAGACAATATGGCAGCTTGTTAGACAATTGACTGTTTTAGGAAACAAGTATTATTGAATATACCGTTAACAAAAAGCAGTATAAAAGGCCATTTACAAGACATTTCATATGATATTTATCATACTTGTTTGAGATATAACATTTCTGTAGCTGTTGGTAAGGTCAAAAGAACACACACAAAAAAAGATTGTATTAGCCGTATCACTGATTATGATGATTGGAGTGTCAGTGACTATATATTTTAGTATTAAATTAACGATTGGGACTTCATGAAATTAATTGCTTTGCAAGTGATCGTAACTTTAAATAACCACTTTTCTATTTAAGACACCGGAATGTCAATTCTATCGGATTTGGTGCATTCACCCGACTAGTCAGGTATAAACAGTTGGTTTGTACCTCCTGTTGGTGTACTGGTAAAAGTGTTTTTGTACATGAAACAATGCAGATCTCATAGAACTGTTATTTTTGCCATTTCTGTACTCTGATGGTGCCGTGTCGGTTTTGTTAAATTTGTGGCTGGTTTGGTTTATTTACCTTCTTACAAATCTAATTACATTACTAGTTAAGGTAAGACATCGGTGTTTGGACATATTGATTTGCCTTTCAATATGTTTGATCTGCGAATTGACTTTTGGGTTATATGCTTATTTATTAATATATTAATTCCAGTGTATTACATGAAGTAGTGGGCGTGGTGAACGACATTTGTGCAAATGTATTAGTTATTTTTGTTCATTCGATGTATCAGCATTTTTTCAAAGCAGTTTGCGTTATTTTCATATTTTTATTACATGTTTTTGCCGGGTTTTTTACCGTGAAAGCTGATCTACCGGTCACACTGCTCATTAGTTTGAATTTAATTTCTCATTTGCTTATCGAATCTACAGCAGCCAACACAGTTAAAAAGTATTATTGTGGTTTTCGACGTTGGAAATCATGAGCTTTAAGTCGTCAAATTCCAGGATACGACATTTTACGATTAAAGCCTTTTCATGTTGCGTTTTGCTTAGCTTCTTTAGTTTGATCTTGCAATTCTTCGAGTCAGATAAATGAAGTATTTTACAGCATCAAATGGGCTCACCGCTATATTATCTGCAGCCCAAAGCGCAGAGGATGATATCATATATAGCTGCAGCTGTATATCAATCTGACTAGTTAGTGAAAAATGTCCAGAGGAGTGTTTCTTTCAGAAGATTAAATGACAATATTTTGAACAAATGCAGAGCAATATTAATGCAAAATAGTGTCTGTACTAAAAAATAAAACAATTTACGACAAGACTAGCAATCAATAGTCTCGTTCAGTTTGTATAATCTGTTTTGACCATTGAATGATGGATGTCAAATACAAAACTGGTTATATTAATATACAACCTGCTGGAGCACCTGATATCATTTCAGCATCGGCTTGTATTGTTTAAAGTTTGTTCATTGTTTTTACCTGTATTTCCTTGTTTGTCCATGATTTTGAATTGTATCTTTTGTTTTATGCCCTTTTGATTGTCTTTATAAGCATTGTTTACAAGATAAAGTTGCAACTTTCATGTTTATGCACTGAAACATCAATTGTTCATTTTTTAACTTTCCAAACGTTCCGTCTCGAAGGAACCAGATTAAGGTGATTCCAGAATAGACAGCATGACAATATTAACTACTCGTTTCTGTCAGATATATTTTGAGCATTTAGAAAAGCAACCTTCAGAGTCTCTGAGGCCAACGTTCAAATATTTTTTATTTTTGAGCTACGTCGGATAGAAATCGACCTTTTTCAAATTAATATCAATACATTTGTTTACCTATTTCTGGTTGGAAAATTTCTATGAAAAGTCTGTAACTGTTTGAAAATTGAGATGTTATAAGAACCCTACAACAAAAATCAAAATTCATCTTTTATTTCGTATTTCAATGTTCCAAATCAATCAAAGTCTTATACATGTACACGTATACGTGCACTTGCATAAAGTCGATTCCTATCAGACGCAGCTCATGGTACGTATTAAATTATAATGTACGAAACATATTGCTAATAATAATAACCATAATATCACAGAGTTGATAAAATATATTTTAAATAAATACTGAGACTTTAGTGTATGCATTATTCATATATATGGCGAATTTTAAGTTTATTTTAAACAGTGAAAATGGAAAAGCATTTGATGAAATAAATTTGTACACTTAAATGAATAATATTAGGCAGCTGTAGTATCTGAATACAGGTTCTAGGTTTTATTGGAGAAACTATGTTGCAATTATACGTCAATGAAGCACCAATCTAGCAACATAATCTAATACAATAGTTTTGTTCAGCTTACAAATGATAACAGTAAATATGATTATTAAACGATATATGAGAACAAACCCTAATTGAATTAGACTTAATATTTGAGTAATTTTTTTAGCATAAATTAAATTTACAAGAGAAGGAATATATGTCATTAGTTTATTTTGCAAGTTAACATTTATTGAATATTGAATTCGTTTCTCAATTAAAATAATGCATCTCATCATTTCTTTCTTTAATTTGTAAGTTGAAATCACTTTCACATTAAATTAACATTTCCTTAATTGGAAATCCATGAAACTTTAAATTAGAGTGAAAGACAGGTGAATGATACCAAAGGGACATTCAAACTCATAAGTCGAAAATAAACTGATAACGCCATGGCAAAAAAAGAAAAGGACAAAAAGACAAACAACAGTACACTAAGGAAGCGTATTATGGACATTGTAAAAATAAATATGGCATTTTAAGTCGAAATTCTAACTTTTCAAATCTCGAAATTTTGACTTTAACTTGAAATTTTGACTTTTAAAATCTTGCAACTTTTAAAAAGTCAAAATTTTGGCTTTTTTAAAACTCGAAATTTCGACTTTAACTCAAAATTTCAACTTTTAAAATCTTGAAATTTAGACTTTTGAGAACAAACAATTACGACTTTTCATCAGTATTCAAATGTTTGCGATTGTCACATTCAGTCATTTATAGCGGCAAGTGGAGACCCTTATACATCATAAACTTAAGCATTTTTTAATAAAAATAAAAATAAAACCATTTTATTTTAAAGAGGTTACTTTAGATAAACCATGTAAAAAATCTTTTTTTGCGAAAGAATAAATGTAATATGTTTCACGTCCAAATATCTACTTCAAGTCTGGACTTCAGATATATGTCTTTTCAGATTGGACGTCAACTCTGAATTTGTAAATCCCGAAAAGCCAAATATCCACCTCTTAAGCTGTTTGACAAGAACGGTCCAGCTGGCAATGGTACTTTATTAACAAATTTACATGTAAACATTGTGTTTTTTACGCGATCTTGAGATTTTCATTTTATCGATAAAATTAAAATAAAACAAGAAGCCAGTCCTTCAAATTGGGCAAGTACGCTTTCCTAGAAATGCAAGTACATAGTATTTTTAACATAAAAGATTTAAACTATTCAAATGATAACGCCAAAAAGGGTCAATCTGAAAGATTTCAAATGACTCAACCCATCAATTTAATGAAGTTCATATTCAAATAGTTACAGTAGCAAGAAAAGTACGATTTACATATTTTGAATCTTGATGAAAAATCCTACTATTCTCAAAGTGATGCCTTTATTCTCTCGGCTAGACATTTTTTGTGCATTGCATAAGATTGAATATTGCACTAGAATGGGGGTCCTTAAATAATTTGCATAAAGGAAAAAGCAAACCGGAACCATCTTGCTAGTTATGTTTAATTTAGTATCAAACACTTGTGAAGTACAGCAACATCGACATTTTCCATTTCAACTTTGTAATTAGTAGATACTGAAATTGTATTTGTGCACATATCGTGTTTGTCATATGTTATGTCATTATAGCCTTAGTCTTAGTCTTAGATGCATGACTTCTTTTTTAAGTTGTTATTGGCTTTGAACTAGCTGTCAGTAACTGCGAGTACTCTCAGATCTGTTTTTAGTGTCTTATTGTTTTAAGGATGTATAAGTACCCATCCAGGTCCACTCTTTTTTTTTTTTTTTAGATATATTTCTATTTCTATCCATCTGATGAGTTACGCTTTTTTTTAACTGATTTGTATAGTGTATTCTTATGTTGTACTGTTACACCACTGTCCCAGGTTAGAGGGAGGGTTGGCGCCTTCAAACTAGTTTAACCCCGCCACATTCTATATGTGCCTGTCCGAAGTCAGGAGCCTGTAATTGAGTGGTTGTCGTTTTTTTGCTGGTTCTCATATTTGTTTTTTGTTTATTGCTTTGCAAAGTTTGTTCTTATGTTGTGTCGTTACACAACTGTCCTAGGTTAGGGGAGGGTTTGACGCCAACAAACTAGTTTTACCCCGCCACATTCTGTATGTCCCTGTCCCATGTCAGGAGCCTGTAATTTAGTGGTTGTCGTTTGTTCTGTGTAACATATTTGTTTTTCGTTCAATATTTTGTACATAAATTAAGCCGTTAGTTTTCTCGTTCAAATATTTTTTACCTTTTGACATTTCGGGGCCTGTTATAGCCGACTATGCGGTATGAGCTTTGGTCATTGTTGAAGGCCGTTCAATGACCTATAGTTGTTAATTTTTGTGTCATTTTGGTCTTTTGTGGAGAGTTGTCTCATTGGCAATCATACCACATCTTTTTTTTTTATATTTAAATGATTAATACAGGGTTGTATTGACCGCATGAAATTTAAATGGTGATGCTAGGAAATTTTATTTGTTGAAAGTTATTAATAAACATAACAGAAACATAGAGACAATTATTTTATGTCCCCGTTGCCATTGTAACGGGTTCAATTGGATTTGGCACAAAAGTGCATATTTTGACGTAGAAAAACATCTATAAGCAATCATTACCATTTTGATGAGAATTGTAACATCTGCTCAATAAAATCTTTGATCGGTTAAATAGAAGACAAAACATTTTTTTCGAAACAGAAGGAAAAGGTGTCGACACTAATAAAAATCGGTGTTTTTGCACGCAATCGAGAAGGAGTTTAACATGATTTTGAATTATTACATATTTTTGCATCGCACCCATTCATGGTGTAGTTATTTATATAAAATATCTCTGATGCTAGATATAATTTACAAAATATGAAATGCTGAAAGGGAATGAATAGAAGTGAAACATACTGAGCATTCAATGAACTTCTATTTGACAAAAGTCAAAGGTCTTTTACGATACCTGGCAGTCATATAATCATTGGCTTCCCGGAGGAAAAAAATCTTAAATATCGATACATGATATATATATATATATTTTTTATATTGGATTAGAACTTCGAATTCTTTTACATATCATAAAGCATTTGTAAATGTACATACTGGTCGGAGGAAATTATCTGACTTGATTGTACACATATATAATACAGCACGACTAAATGATTTGTATAATTCAATTTTAATGTTTTTGTTTTAATATAAACAATAATGAATGGTTAGAAACCTAACACTGTTTGTGAAATCACTATTACAATATGAAAAATGTAAGGCACAAATACAGATAAACGGAACAGTAAATGATAAGTATTTACCATTGCCTCTTTATGTCCAGGTCTTACTGAAACTGCGGGTGTTGACATGTATCCTGAATATGTCTTCGTTTTTGGTTTGGTCAGAGGAAAATTTGTCAAGTTTTTGATTTCAATACCAACAACAATGCTGTATTGTTTATTTGTCATTAATGCAGACAAGTTTGTTCCATGCAAAGAATGACCACATTCTGTTGCCTCATCCATGGACTTTGTCATTTCTGATTTCAACGTGACTCGGCTCATACTTTCGAGTTTAATAGGGTTGTTTCCTGTAAGAGATGGAGTAAATATTGCTTGCAAATTTGGAAGAAATCGTATATTGCAAAAAGTTTTAGGAAAATCGCAAAAACTGTGAGATGATCCATGCAACAATATTTATGCAGCACTACATTTGTATAACCGGTGATTCGAGAATAACACATTATCCTTATGGCCATTTCAACAAATTGACAAAACACAGTTTGTCTTGGAATCTTTCAGAATAATAATATTGTCTGTATAATCAACGATTGAAATAAAAGGAAGATATATTTACAAAATTAGAATTCGTGACAAGACAAAGACAAATTTAACTATACTCTAAACGATTATTTTTCGATACCGTCTCAATTGTTACAAATAATATGTGTACGGACCTCTCAGTCCACGTTAAATAGGCATTAATGTCTGCTATTATTTTCTTTGAATTTGTTTTAGTGTTTTCAATTTTCGCAGTGACTGTTTTTTTCATTTACCTATGGGACTCAGAGCAGTTTGTATACACCTACCACTGTTTGAAAATATTCTATAATTTTGTGATTCAATCTCTTATGCAATTGAACATTAGTGTACTTAAAGCAAACTGTTATAAAGATAACATATTATAATAAGAGTACAATTTAAGAATTAACTTATTAGTCAAAGGCCAAGAGAAAATCAACAATACAGACAAGCAATTTTTCTTACGTCTGTAGTATTACTCAATAAAACCTACAAATATTTTGGCGGCTTTTATCAAATTATCATTTTCACGATAAATGTTTGTCTGTAATGTATCACGCAATATATAAATCTTAAATACAACTACTAATGCTGTTTCATTATTAAGATACCTCTTCTTTTTTTTTAAATCTCATGAATTCTATTTCGTCATAACATTCCGTCATCACATGAGAAAGTATTAGGCAACTGCAACCTAAATGTGTTGCTAACTTGGCTATCGAGTTGACGTGGTTTGTCTCGATGAATTACCTCTAACGAAGATTTTCATAAAGTCAACGTGATTGAGTTGTACATATATATTATTTAATATAAATAACAGTATACGTCTTTAATAAGAGAGTTTTTACGCAAGTAAAGGTTTGGTTGTACCTGTAGAAAACTAAATTTCAACGAGATAGCACATCCTAATTTTTACGGAGATGTTGTTTACCGAGCCCAGAAATTTAGATACGATCCGGGTAAACTTATCGATCCTTTAAATATACTCTTTCTTAAAGGTTACCAATTCAAAACACTATAATAAGATCTTTGAATATTGTTTTAATTGGTATTAATATTGATTTTGTTATCAGTATATTGAAATCAAACTAAATATCATTTTATATACATATGCACATTTATGGCTCTACAATCTGTCGATAACTGCATCTTGGCATTGGACAAGGTCAAGTTTTTCTCTGAGTGTTAATGACGTCTTTACACTAAATCCATTGGATGTTGGATAAGTACTGATTGATATTTAAGTCTTATATGCATGATTTTTTTATTAGTTGTTATTGACTTTGAACTAGCTGTCAGTAACTGCGAGTACTCTCAGATCTGTACTTAGTGTCTTTTTGTTGTGGGGATGTACAAGTAACCGGCCACGGCAGTGTCTTTTTGTTGTGGGGATGTATGAGTACCCTGCCACGTCCACTCTGTGTTTTTGTGACATGTATTTCTACTTTGTATTCATTTGATGAGTTGAGCCCTTCTCAAAAGATTTTTACAGTTTGTTCTTATGTTGTACTGTTACACAACTGTCCCAGGTTAGGGGAGGGTTGGTGCCTTCAAACTAGTTTAACTCCGCCACATTCTAGATGTGCCTGTCCCAAATCCGGAGCCTGTACCTTAGTTGTGTTTGTTGCTGTTTTGTATAGTGTGTTTTTGTGTTGTGTTGTTGCACCACTGTCCCAGGTTAAGGGGAGGGCTGGCGCCTTCAAACTTGTTTAACCCCGCCACATTCTGTATGTGTCTGTCCCAAGTCAGGAGCCTGTAATTCAGTTGTCGTTTGTTGCTGTGTATCATATTTGTTTTTCGTTCATTATTTGTACATTAATTAGGCCGTTTGTTGTTTTGTTTGAATTGTTTTACATTTGTCACTTCGGGGCCTTTTATAGCTGACTATTTGGTATGGTTTTTGCTCATTGATGAAAGTAATACGGTGACCTATAGTTGTTAATTTCTATGTCATTTGGTATCTTGTGGAGAGTTGTCTCATTGGCAATCATACCACATCTTCTTATTTTTATATATATTGGAGTTTGTAACTTCAGATATGAAAGAAGACCTTAAATGCATGGTTGTTAAAATAAATATCTGAAATCAAAAAAAGAAATTTAGTAGAGCTAGCCCATAGGTAACAATTCAGACAGTTGAATAAAAGTAGTAAGGACCTAAAATGTTAACTATTTCAAACTACAATTTCTAATTAGGATTTATTGACCAATATAACATTGATGTGTATTTTTGTTGAAACTTTACGTACTTGCGTTCAATTCATGACTTCACAATGAGCACTAATTTTGATTTTCCACTAAAAACATAGAGCGTATGCGTCGACTAATAAGATATTTTCATAACATGTTTGTCTGACTTGAATATTTAGTTTATCGACGCCTGCGCTCTATGTTTCCTATGCCATAATTTGGTTGAAATCCGTACAATGTTGTCAAATCTTGCAAAAAAGCTCTATTAGCGGCCTATTTAGGAAGTAAAAATCAACGCTTTAAAATATAAAACTTGGACAAAAATAATCTATCTAATTTTCTTAGAAGTCTCTACACATCAGCTTAAACCATTTTTATCTTGAAACATTGACTTTAATTATCGGGTCCAAATATGGCCTTTATCTAACTTATTTAGGGTGCAGAGCAGTTTTGAATTGGTAGCAGATGAAGCAAACATGAACATGATAATCATATTAATTGTTTACAATTATTAGCTGTTTATTATTGTCTAAAATCATTTAAGAAAATTTACATAATGTTGAAAATGTAATACAACTTACAGCCAATACAAATGCTATAAGCTATATAACCAGTATGGGTGGTATAAAGTCTATTGAGTGCAAACAAATTGTTAGTAAATTTTGAATTTGGTACACTGAAAACTAATTATGGTGAAGAGCTACCCACATACAAGGAAAATTGAACAACAAGCTATCAGACTATCAGTCAAGAAGTTTAAAAGATCAGATAGAATGACAACTGAATATATATATGTAAGCCTCAGATCTGTGTACGGCCTCAAATTTGTGTCCGTTTCTCAAATCTGTGCCCCATCGTGACGTCAATCGCTAATCTATGTCCGTTAAAAAAAATACGGCCTCAAATCTGTGTCCTTTCCGTAAATCTTTTTCCAGTGTGTTTCGCCATGCACAAATTTATGCCCGTCTAATAAGTACGGCCTTATAGGATTTTTGTTTTCAAATTGTTTGCTTTTTTTGATCCCTTGTTTAATTGTTCAGTAGTAATTATCGTTACTTCCCTTTACTCATTACGTCTTGAAATATAAATTAATAAACAACGTGAGACAAAATGACATCTGTATACAAGCAACTAAAGATACATGTACGGCCGTCAACAATGAATCAAACCTATTCTGTATCGTAAGCTATAAACACATACACCTATCCACAAACGTTTTGTTGAATGTTTCAATGTAAAGATACCACATAAAATGTTAAGGGTATAATTTATTGTGTTTAACAACGACATTTTGTGCCACTATCTTAATTATTAAAAAAAAAATTTTTTTCTGGTGAAACTTTTCCAGTTTCAAATCTATGTATTTTTTAAAATCCATTGTGTACCATGACATCAACATTCAACAACCACAGCATAATTCAGTGTACAAATTATTGGCATAAAGAGCATACATGTTACTTTCAAGATTGAAACTACACATTTTTTTTACTTGATTACGTCTTGCTATGTCTTACGTCACCACATTACGATAAAGGACATAGATTTGAGACAATGCAGGACATAGATTTGAGACAATAGAAGACATAGATTTGAGACAATAAAAGACATAGATTTGAGACAATAAAAGACATAGATTTAAGACAACAAAGGACATAAATTTGGAACTTCTATGACGCAATATTAAAAAGGACATAGATTTGCGGAAAGGACATAGATTTGAGGCTGGACATAGATTTGAGAATTACATATATATATATTTAAAAGTATGTTCACTATAGAATAGACCAGACATGAATTTATTTGCTTGACATCTTTATACTCAATTACCAACTTATGTTTATGGAAAGCTGATCGAGAATCAAATTTGTTTATGCTTTTACTCTTGATTGGAGAAAATATTCATACTGTTACATATTTCTTTCTTTCAGCATGATAGAACGCTGTGTAAAGAAAATCTTATATTTATAACAGATAAGGCAGACGTTTTATTGATGGGACCACTTTGTCCAAACTTACCATGGTTTGTTCAAGTAATGAAACTGTTAATTATAAACAATCCATATGTGAAAAAGGCGAACAAAAAGCCATTGACACTACTGTACAATATGTACAAGGACAACTGAACATAACATGGTGTAAATGTTTGTGATGTTTCTATTGTTTTGAGATTATTGAGACACTATCACTAGGTTCTGATGTATCAATAAAAGTCTTAACTATAAAACTTGTAATACTTATTGCATTGAAGAATGCTTCCAGAGCACAAAGTGTTCATTTATTGAAACTCAGCAATCTTCCAAAACAGAAGGATTGTTTTCGTTTTACTATATTTGATTTACTGAATCAAAGCAGACAAGATATACGAATTCAGAATTTTTGTTTTTTATTTTTCCTCCTGACAGGAAATTATCTGTGTATTTAGAGATAAAGGAATATTTGAGACATACTGCTGATATAAGATAAGGAAAGTATTAATTAATATTAAGTTATATTAAACCACGTAAAAAAGTAAGTTATATTAACCCACGTGAAAAAATTAGTAATATTATACCACGCAAAAAAGTTAGTTGCTCAACTACTTCTTGATGAATTAAGTCCATAATGTGTCTTTCAGGAATAGACACAATTATATTTGAAGCACACAGTACACGATTTCCATCTATTTCGAAAGCAAAACAAAATAATGTGCCTGTTAGTGATAGTTTGATAAAGTTCTACAAACCTTTGGGAAAATTTTATGGCAAGACAGTAACTACAAGTGATGTTTTTGTAGAAAAGGTGCTTCAAATTCTACTGTACTGAATGTTTGATTTATGATTAAGTATTCTAATCAGAATGAACTAATGATCTTTGAGTGCTACATAATGCATATCACTGGATCTAGTTGTTGCATAAGTTTCAAAGTGTATCTGTTGATCATCTTTATCACTGGTATTCATTGTTACCGTCAAAGGGAAAAAAACATATTGAAAAGCACACCAAAAAAATGCTGTAGCTATGAAGTCTCATCTAATACCGGAAGTGTTATGACGTAATAGAATGACCAAATTTAACGCTTCTTTAACTTGGTTAAGTTGATGTTAAGTTGTGATTCACCGCAGGTTTAAGATGCCACCTCCCATCCCATCATCCCATCAGCTCTTACTTTAGTGCTTGGTACATCTTTATATTTTGTGATGAGTAGATGAACTGTACAAACAGATTTAGTTTTCACTGTAAACACTGAGGTTGCAGTTGTGCAAAACTATCTCATCTAACACCTCCAGTGATATTCAATGTCTACATAAAATTACACATTAACATCAACTTCACCAAGATTAGTATCGTTAAATTTTGTAATAACAAGCATGTAAATTTAATAGGTTTTTGAATTGGTCTGACCGGAGTCTACACAGGAACATCCTTCAATCATTTGATATTTTGAAGTAAACATTTTCAAACTCTGCATATTAGAGATAGAGAGAGAGAGAGAGAGAGAGAGCAAGAAAGAATTACCGCTATTTGATTCATCACTGTCACTCCTGTTACTGTCTTCTATACTGTTTCGGTTTTGAAATCTATTGTGACGACTATAAACACCAATAGAAGCCATTTCATCACTGACAACCTACAATGTATTTATATACAATTGTATGATTGTTAATTTTTCAATTTATCATTCGAAGCGCTTTATTCTAAATTGGCACATAATTAATGCTTTTTCAACCCTATACAATTAAAAGTTATTCGTTTGTTTTCCTTTGCATTGCTGTCACGTTGTCACGTGCAGGCAATGATACCTTAAATTAAGACAAGAAAAAATTTGATATAACATTTTGAATAAACAGATATGCAAAATGTTGCTAATATTTTATAAACAAATTACTAGATTTTAAAGAAAATGACATACGAATATTATGAGACTGCAATATCAGTGACATTGTTGAGTGCAATGAACAGAATATCTTTTTAGAAAACAAAAACATAAACTGGGCCTTTAAATGACATTTTTCTTTAACACAAATTCATTTATCTGTTATATATGTAGTTCCTGATAAAGCTTTAAACGTTTTGTTTTTTAGCCATAAATTTATACTGAACCTCCAGGAACAAATGCAGAAAACAACCAGTGAATTAAATTTTGAGTCGGAGTCTGGCAAATGCAATAAAATAATGAAACAAAGAAATAAGATACAAAAGGACAATTTAAAATTCATAAGTCGAAAAATTATAGTGTTCTTTTATTCGTAAATTATTACTTTTACTGTTTAGTCTATTTTTGGTAATATCCATTTGACGTGGCTCAGTACTTATACATCCCGTCATTGTGTTATTGTGCTATGGTAAATTTTTGTATTCTTGTCTTTCGTGTTTGCTAATTTGCTTTGTCTATATGCCTTTGTGTTTTTCTTTGTCGACATATTTGTTTGTTTTTATAGTGATTAAGATAATAACACAATGTTGACTACTGTACCCCTTTTTTGACATTTTTACCTATTATGTCTGGTTTTTGTTTCACACATAGTTTTCAATATAATGATATTTTATGCGACTGTCATACAAGTGAGAGGTTGAGCAAGCTATAAAACCAGGTTCAATCCACCATTTTCTACACAAGAACATGCCTGTACCAAGTCAGGAATATAACAGTTGTTATCCATTCGTTTGATGTGTATGAGCTTTTGATTTTGCCAATTCATTAGGGACTTTTCGTTTTGAATTTTCCTCGAAGTTCGGTATTTTTGTTATTTTACTGTTTAATATAAAACTATGGCAAATTAAAAAAGAAAACGTACGAAAAAAGAAACAACAGATAATGTATACATAACGCTACTTAGACAACTTAAGACTGAGCAACTAGATATTGACGGCAAACCTTCTATAAGCCGTAGTACTTAAAATTTAAGGTAACACCTTACCTGTACCAGATGACAAAACTATACTGTTCAGTGTTTATAAATTAATGTATATCTTCCGCATACTAGCACAACTTCTCAAATATTTGCGCATGTCCGTATAAAAAAAATGAACTTTGAAATTGATATCTAAAAAAATATTTGTAGAATTCAAAAATAACTTTATTAAGTTTAAACCTGTACATAACAAAAGTTTTTATTGTATTAAAAACTTCCATTTAGTGTTAATCTAGCTTGATAGAAAAACATAGGATATAGAGTATCCATCCATGACACACAATCAGTACATGCACAACAAACAAAAACACACAAAAAGCAAAGGAATACGACCACAATTGCTGTTCTTCATCTGAAAGTCAAAATAAGACCTTCAACACGGAGCAAAAAAAAATATCATCTTACTGCAGGTTAAGACGGTACCTAGCACCGGTTTCTTTGCAAGATGATTTGGATATACTTTGTATGATGTGACACCACCAAATCGGGCACGGCCAAAAAATAACATACTGGAAAGTGGTACATATTTGATGACCGCTACTGCTGACTGCCTTAATGATAGCCGATGAAATTACCTTGTTCTCAGGCGATAAATCAAATGTAATACATTATGTTTGTGCCTTTCTCAAGTCAGGAGTATGTAATTCTGTGGTTGTCGTTTGTTGCTGTATATCATATTTGTTTTTCGTTTGTTGTTTTGTATATACATCAGGTCTTTAGTTTTCTCGCTTGGATTATTTAACATTTTTAATCGAAGGGTATTTTACAGCTTGCTAAGTGGTAAGGGTTTTGCTCATTGTTAAAAGCCGTGTGGTGACTTATAGTTCAGATCAAGTCATTAAGTTTCTGGTGAAGAGTTGTGTCATGAATACATTTTTGATATTTGTGTGTGGCAACCAACATCTCATTGTTATTTTATGGATTATTTTCTAAAAGCTTGCTTCACTACTTCAACTATTGCCACACACAAATATTGGCCCCTGATGACTACAGGGTTTTTAGTTCCTCTATCTTTTACTCTTACAACCGTCAAAGAACTACAAATAAACCCCTTTCATCTTCTTCGTTAACATAAACCACATATATATCCTATTTTATATAATTATAGAAATCTGATTTATATCAAATCTATATATTTTTGAAAATCGTATGTTCAGTAGAACATCTTTATTACCAAATAGAGAAGCTTTCGTTCGTATTTCAGAAATTAATACTTTAAATTGAAATTGCTACATCATTAATGACTACAAACCGACCACAATTTGCTCTTTTTCCTAAATAACTCCCCCAGGTCAAGTTTACCTGAGATATAAGACTATTCCTATAAGTTTCCTTTTAGAAATATAGCTTCTCATGTATTTATTGTATTTATTCATCCACGGCTTTCATTTTTTGGCTTTGAGTGTTCCTTATGATGGTAAATCCTAAATTGTCTTCATTAGTATCAAATTAATAAACTGTTAATTTTATTATCAGCAAGTTTTTGGCGGATAACCAGTAAAAATCGATTGTGCCTGATTTTCATATGATGAATATATAATCTTTCATTCAGTTTAATTGAGGCCTGAAGCTTGCATGTCAGTGACTGCTTGTAGTCCTTTGTTATATTATGTATCATTGTCATTTTGCTTAGTTTCTGCTGTTACCCTTTCTAAAAATCGGACTCGGAGAGTCTTTTTTAAAGTGAGTTTAACTGTGTGTATTGCTGTGTGTTTGTTTATTCTACATTGACTAGAGGAATAGGGGAGGGTTGAGATCTCACAAAACATGTTTAACCCTGTCGCTATGTTACGCCTGTCCCAAGTTAGGAGCCTCTGGCCTTTGTTAGTTTTGTATATTTTGTGTAATTTTGATTCATTTATATGTTTAGGAGTTTAGTGTGACGTCCATTTTCGCTGACGCATTTTTGTTTTAAAATCAACTGAAGCCCGGCCTTAAGGTGCGGGATTTTCTCGCTGTGTTGATTATCCATTGGTGGCCTTGAGCTGTTTTCTGCTCTATGGTAGGATTGTCTCTTTGGTACATTTCCGTTTCCATTCTCAATTTTATTAAATACTTTATATAGATACATGTGAAATAATATACAATTATGTCCTTGTCCTACGAAAAAGGTAAAATGTCAAAATTACCGAACTCCAAGGAACGTTCAAATTGGAAAGTCCCTTATCAAATGGAACACTCAAAAGCTGAAACACATCAAACGTTTGGAAAACCACTGTCATATTTCTGACATGGAACAGCCATTTCCTTATGTAGAAAATGGTGGATTAAACCTGGTTTCATAGGCAGCTAAACCTCTCACTTGTATGACAGTTGAATGTATATTAATTTTGTGTGCATGAAAAGCACACTACTTTTGAAATCAAAAAAGTAGCATGTAAAATGATACATGTATTGACATGTAATCATAAATAGCATCGACGTTTATTTCCCTGTTATCCAGCTAGAAGTGCAAAACAATGGAAACTATACGTAAATGCTTATTAATATCATGTGATATAATATACAATTATGTCCTTGTCATGACTTTATTTGAAATATTTATTCAACATTCAATGTTTATTTTAATTAAAAATGGATCTCCTTGACTTCTTTCTGTTGGAAATTGTAATACTATTCAAATCAATTTGAAATTTCCTTTTTGTAAGACCAGGAAACTTTAGATGAAAAGTAAAAGAAAATACGTATTATAAGTAACAATTTTTATTAAGGAAAAAGTAATACGGAGCCATCTTAATATTATTGTCAGACTTTATATTTTATTAATCCTATTTTCCTATATCATTAAAGAAAGATTACGCCATACAAATAGTTTGCGAATCTCCTAGCAAATTACTATACGTTTTGGAAATACAGCAACAGTGACATTTTGTCATCAGAAAATCAATGTAAACATTGAATAACGCTTGACGATGTGTATAACAGGTATGGATATTTTCGTTTATTTAATTCAATAACACGACAATATTTGGAAGCTGGTAAAATTCTGAGAAATTTGGAATACTAAAAACACCACGAAAGTATTAAAAACACCCGAAAGATTTATTTGTATTCCTAATATAGACATATACTTTTCCACGTGAAAAGAAAAAAAAAATGTGGGGAAACTGACCTCACACTTACTGTTTGTATGATTGGTACGAAATCCTGCTCACACACCCTCGAGCTCACCACAGTAACTATTTTGAAAAAAGTAATAAAATGAAAGAGTTCAATATCTAACTTCTGAACATAGTCGTTAAGATTACATACTCTTATTTTCTATCATTTTCAGAAGTTTGTTAATATTACTTTTCAGTCTTCTCCTATGGAACTGATTACACAAATACAAAAAATGTATTCATTGACTATTGTGGTTTTGTAATAGATAAGTCATGTGTCATTGTCGGACGCAGTGTTATTTTAACTTCTGGTTTACTGCTGGTTCCCATGGAACCAAATAACTGAAAATCGTTATCTTTAATCATTATTTCATCACTCGTATCGCTAAACGTAGAAAATTTATATTTCAGTTTTTCATCCTGTTGCTTGTTACTTATAACATTGAACCAGGAATCGTCTTGATTTTCATTACCAACCGTCGTTATGCAAATACCAACACTGTTGCTGCTAAAATATGGTGATTTCCACACGATTGCAATGCGCCTTTTTTGGTTTTCTATAAGCCAAGAGACAATTCCACTTGATCCTGTCATGGTATAACCGTGCTTATGTACTATCTAAAAGTGAAATAAAACATCAATATAAATAAGATCTTAATTGAAATTTATGTGGATATTACACGACAGCATTTATCGATAACCATGATTTTGCATTAAAAAACGGAACTGGACGAGAACTTATAATTATAAATTGGTAAAACTTATAATCGTTCGAAATACTAAGGTTGTTGCACCCAGTCATATTTGGCTTGAGCCAGATATGGCACACCGATTCGGATACTCTTAGTTTTCATTGGTCTTTGATTTCCTTATAAAGTTCGCCTTTAAACTGTATAATTGGAGCACCATGTTGAGTTTGAAGACGAAAGGCACGTAAAGTTTGTTAAATTATATTTAATTAAGTACTTGATGGGTTATTATTACTTTTGGCTTTGTCGCCCGCAAATCTAATCTATTATCTTGTACACTTTCCCTGGGACATCTAATTGACGAAATGATCTGAAGATACTGTCTATCCACCAATGTAACAAATAAGGCATAGATTAGAGAGCAATGTCTTTTATATTGAAAACCATTATAGATATAAAAAAGTGACATGGCAACATTGTCTTGATTGTCAAAAATTTACATATTTGTACGTAACTAGCCATTTTGATCAAAACTTTTTTTACAAAATATTTTTTTGCCGGAAACTATTAAAGAACTGCAATGAGCAATGACCAGGAGAATAAACTGTTCATACATGTCAGATGATAGAAACCCCAATCATCTCCTTAAACATGTTAAAGAAGTAACTGCACTTAAACCATGATATTTCCCAGTTGGTATGAATTTGGCAGAGAGAAAGTAGATAAAGAGAAACTGTAAGAGTAAAAATGATCAGTGTTGAACGATCTACAAATAAGACAACTTATGCGGCTAGGCTTAATTTTTAGAAAATTGGTTACCATGCGTGCCACCCCCTAAATAAAATGGGTAGCAGACGACAATCACCGAACCTATAACAACGTTGGGTTAATCTCAGAAGAGCCGATTGAACATGAAAAGCGTTAACAGTTATATTACATGTAACAATGTGACTTTTTTGATGTTATTCCGTTTTAAAAATTATTTTTTTATTAAAGTCAATTATTTTATTTCTTATAAAAAGATAAATATATATATACTATTTCTTACTGACCGAGTCCAGAAAAAAATGGATAGTGTCCAGATGTTGCCGAATGCAAACTGTCAGTGTAGGTTCACTATCTGATCCAAGTCGGAACACTTTTGAAAGACCCGGCTCTCTTTGTTTACTATGCGAGAGATAAAGATATATTCGGACAGGAATCGGATTGAAAACAGGATAAAAATAGGCAACAGTAGTATACCGCTATATATAAGTCATAAATCGATTGAGAGAAAACAAATCCGGGTTACAAACTAAAACCGAGGGAAACACATAAACTATAAGAGGAAGACAACGGAACAACAGAAACACTGAAGTGCAACAAAAACAAACGCCAATTCTAACCAATATGTGATCGTTGTCGTGATGAAATAAATGTGTCTACAAACTTCACTCCAAGAATCATATGATTTTGTGCCGACTGTACCTCGTTTAAGATACAAATCAGACTCGGATACAAAACTGCAAAATCGGGAAGAACTCGGATGTAAACGGCTGAATCGGGACGCTTTATGAACACTTCCTGATATTTGTCGTGACTAAATAAATGGTTTTACAAATCTTAAACAGACAAGTCATGAATCACAGGATTATGGTCAGACTTTAAAAATTTTTCAATCGGTAATTTTCCTATCAGAGACGGCAGTAAAAATCATGAATGTAAGACTGGGGTTTGAGTTTTTAAATATTTTTTTGACGTAAAATAAAGAGAAACATGCATGGCCTGACTTATTATAACATCAGTTGTAGAATGGAAGATGATACGTTTGTACTTGAAATTTAAATTACGATAGAAGATCAACGAAACAGTACATGATAAATATTTACCATTGCCTCTTTATGTCCAGGTCTTACTGAAACAGCGGGCGTTGATATGTATCCTGAATATGTCTTCGTTTTTGGTTCGGTCAGATGATACTTTGTCCAGTTTGTGATTTCAATACCAACGACAATACCATAATTTGTATTTGTCATTAATGTAGACAAGTTTGTTCCATGCAAGGAAGTGCCGAGTCGTGTTGAATCTCTCATGGACTTCATCTTGTGTGAATTCCACGTGACTTGACCCTTACTTGTGTGTTCATTAGAGTTGTTTCCCGTATGGGAGTAACAGAAACAATGCTTGTCAATTTTGAACAAATCATTTGATACAAAACGTTCAAAAACTTTTAATTATATGGGGCGTGTAGAGTGTGTGATTGCTCACTGAAAGTTCTTTGATTTACATATCTTGGCAAAGATCAGCCAGTTGGTATACAAGATTGTAACCTTCTCCTGTGAAGACACATTATCTACAAAACTATTTTACACAAATATATATTTATACCCCCCCCCCCCCCCCCCCCCCCCAAAAAAAAAACCCTGTCTTTTAAAGTGTCCTATCCTGGTTTATTTGTGAACAGAGTAACGTATATTGACCTTAATTTGCTTAATCTACTTTTATACATCAAGAGATGCATGCAGAGAACGTATTAATCATTTAAAGTTTTTATTAGGAGGATAATTACTTTTGTCACCAGTTTTTGCAAAAACGGGAGAGAGAAAAGGAGAGAGATATATATTTACCCATATTTGTTTCATCACAATTACTGCTTTTAATGTCTGCCATACTGTCTTGCTTTTTGAATCTATTCTGACGACTATAAGAACTCATAGATGCTTTTTCACCATTGACAACCTACAAATTTTGTTTATAAAATTGTATAATTATTAATTTCTAAATTTATCATCCAAAGCGCATCATGCTTTTAGTCTTAGATGCATGATTTTATTTTATTAATTGTTATTGGCTTTGAACTGGCTGTCAGTAAGTGCGAATACTCTCTGATCTGTTTTGTTAGATGTATTTCTGCTTTATATCGATCTGATTAGTTAAGCCCTTTTCAACTGATTTTTTAAGTTTGTTCTTATGTTGTACTGTTACGCCACTGTCCCAGGTTAGGGGAGGGTTGGCTCGCCTTCAGACTAGTTTAACCCCGCCACATTCTGTATGTGCCCGTCTCAAATCAGGAGCCTGTAATTTAGTGGTTGTCGTTTGTTGCTGTTTATAATATTTGTTTTTCGTTCATTATTTTGTACATAAATTAGGCCGTTAGTTTTCTCGTTTGAATTGTTTTACATTTGTCATTTCGGGGCCTTTTATAGCTTACTATGCGGTATGGGTTTTACTCATTGTTGAAGGCCTTACGGTGACCTATAGGTGTTTATATCTGTGTCATTTTGTCTCTTGTGGAGAGTTGTCTCATTGGCAATCATACCACATCTTCTTATTTTTATATTAAAATTATGTGTACGATCAACCATTTTTCAACCCTTCAATTCTGATCATTAACTCTGAAATAACAAGATATATCAACCTATTCGTGTATTTTCCTATGCATTCGTTTTACTTTGTTATGAGAAGCACTTGCAGTCAAAAATGTTGTATGTTATTGGAAAACAAAATATAATTTGGGTACGCCTTTCGTTAATGGTCTGCAAATCAAAGTTACTATACAGATTCTTAGAAAAAATACATTTATTGTTATCATTAGAATGTGAGGGCGGATCTAATATAATCGACCATATTTTATCCTGTGACATATATTCATATTTATGACTATATTCGACTATTTCGAATATGTTAAGGATAGTACAAGATAGATAAATTTTTAACCACCTTTGTTCGGATAACACCAGATATTATTTTCATTACAATGATTATAAATTGATTGCTTAGATTCAAGTGGCAATTATTTATGCATACTTAGGATGAGAAACTATTGACAATATATATATATAAAAGGTAAGTCTGTTACAAGGCGGAAAATTTGGACTGCATTTGAAAAACATTAGTATGTTGGATCGGTGACCAAATGGTGAAGAAATATTTCTATGCAACAGGACAAATTGAGAATCCATCAAAGAGTTGCTGCAAGGGTTCTTAAACGTGCATAAAGAGTGAAACTCTCTCTCTATATGAGATTTGGAATGAACGTTGCAATTCTGATCGGACCTATCTGCGAATTAATACATCACACACAGTCAAACAAACGCCCGAATTTGGCAAGAATTTTACTGCTGGTCGGAAGAAGACAAAATTTATAATTCCTACACCAAAGTCATGCTTGGGTTAGATTGGTATATGACCATGATTGTACTATACTTAAAACATTTTGATAACGGACAAGGAGCAACTGGACATAAATATATTTTTTAATTATTTTTTTTTGTCACCAATTTTACAGAAACTGGTTCTTTTAGAATCTTCACCGAGCTCGTTCAGGACAGTGATTTAGATAGAACGATATTCTGTTGTTCCCAAACGGTTGACAGGTCAGTTTTTTGTTGATTTTGATTTCATGTGACTCCGTCATGAATTTTAACAATTACATGAAATTGAAACTCATTCAAATTAACAGTTTAACTTTCCTGTAATCATGAACACACACGCTATCACTACGACAGATACCAAAGAATCTGTATTTAAGATTGCCGTTGTAACAATTATTTTTTGCTATCGTGTACAACAAATTTGTGTCTGCTGTACCAATTGCCTTTTCAATATTGAAGCAATGGATCTAGCAATTGTGTATAGCAAATTTGTGTTAGCTGTACCAATTGCCTTTTCAAAACTTTAGCAATGGATCTAGCAATCATGTACAGCAAATTTGTATCTACTGTACCAATTACTTTTTCAATACTGTAGCACAAGTAGCAATGGATCTAAAAATCCTGTACAGCAAATTTGTTTCTGCTGTACCAACTGGTTTTTCAAAACCATAGCAATGAATCTAGCAATCGAGTTTCTGCTGACTCCCAAGGGTGACTAGGGAATAAAAATAAGGTCACTACAGGTCTTCTTCCGACCGGCATTAAACCCCTTGCCAAAGTGGGGCATCCGTTTTGGCTGCGCGGGATGTACAAGTACGCAGCCATGTCCGGTCAGAATGGGAACGTTAAATCCAATACCTTGTGAAGAAAGAGTGCTGCCACGCTCTTTGCACGTTAAGAACCCTTGTAACAACTCTTTGAGGGGTCCGGTTGCAAGGCAAAATATCTGTTCCTATCAAATGTACCATCATTTTTCAGTGGCAGTCTAAATTTCCCCGACCTTCCTCCCGGACGGCCTCTGTTGCAGGACCTACCATTTGTATCTATTGTTTATTTGATCTTAACATGCATGAAATATTTGCCACTGGACGGTAAGCAACCATCACTCAATCAACAACCAATTACTGCTGATTCAATTAGCTTTTCAATACTGTAGCAATGGATACATGTAATTTTGATCTGTGTTACTATTGCATTTGTAGTACCGATAACCGGAAATAGGATGTGATAATTATAAATACATTAAAAGGAAATTTGTAGTTTAGGTCAATGAGACAGCAACACTTTCATTTCTAATTCAAACGTCGTTGGTACTGAGTGCCGATAGAAAGGCAACAACTGAGTGTATTTTCTATTTAACCAAATTCCAAACTCATTTTTTAAGAGTATTAACATTTATTGGATATTCTACATAACATTTATATAAATTTTCAGAGATTTCCGTTTTTGAAATTCTCACCTTCACAAATTTCACATTTAAAATGATAAAATTGAACATAAGATTGCAAATGTTAACCATAATGAATCTGTCTAGCAAAAGTTATCAAAAATTAATACAGTTTTACAATTATCTTGTGCACCATAGTACAGTGTGGTCAAATTTGGATGAACATTAGTTACTTTTGTCTCTATCCTATCCTCCTTTTGGAGTTCATGCCATTCTGTCAATGATTAACGAGATTTGAACATCAGTAAAATCCTGTCACCTTAATCTATGACACTAATCAGTTGCAATTTCCATCACTGAAAATAGTCGATGTTAGACCAAACTTTTGGTGTATCGTTTTGTCTTACAGTGTATGTTGGAGAAATGGCTTAAAAGAACTATTTTGCATTGTCATTTAAAACGGGACCAAAGGTGGCTTGAAATATGATGCGTTTTGTTTCTGTTTGGACTAGTTGTACTAAATCAAATCAACTAGTCTTATACAATGTATGTCAAATGAAATACATGGTCATTAGCAGAACAACTAGAGGGTAACAAATATGAAAAGAGAATTTTAAATGTTAATTAAATATTCAATTTTGCAATTCGTTTTGTTTCGTGTTAATTCATAGTTGAAAGTCTAGTTGGACGGTGTTTGACAAATGAATCTTTAATTCAGGCAACAAAAGTTTCATATAGAATATACAGAAAATTAGATTTCTGCTTTTGATTTTATACGAAAAAGACGAAAGTTTTAACATATTGTCATAAAATTATCTGCTAACTATTAAACTATATGTGACCCGCCATGACATTTCCAGGCTTATGGAGGTAGAACGTCATTGTTAGAAAAGCGCCGTTAAATATCATATATAAACGTTATGTAAAATTTCGTATGGGACATACACGTTAATTTCTATACTGAATTTATGTTTTGGATGCTTTTTACCATTGCAAGCGAACTAATCATAAACTTCAAAAAATTTTGGGGCCCTTTTTTGTTTACTATGCGGTTTGGATTTTGCTCCATGCTGAAGGTCGTACGGTAACCTATAACTGTTAACTTCTACGTCATTTGGTCTTTGGTGGAGAGTTTTTTCATTGGCAATCATACAGCCATTTAATACCCCCCTTCCATCATATATTATTGTCAACGCTTTTGTCGACATAAATTTGTCACAAACTGTAAAATATTGTAGTTTCCATAAGAATACAAGCTTCTAAATGAATTTAAAGAAATAAAATGTATTTAGCTATACTAGGGACAGTCGGTTGGTATAAAACAATTAACGTGAATACATGCGATGTACAGTTATTCCATAAGTAAGTAAACAGAAAAGACCAGACAAAGTTTTTATCAATAAAAGTACAAAAATCTCGTAAAATAGGTTTACATTGTAGATTTAAAATATGTTAGTAATTAACAATTCAAAGATTTTGAAAAGGGTTAGGACCATGACAACATTAGGAGTGGCATTTACCATATATGTAGCTGCGGCTCATACCTCATACCAAAACTAAAAGAAAAGAAAAAAGAAAAGAAAAGAAAAGAAATAGATATAAAAATCCGCCTCTGACTTCATAAGTTGAAGCCCGGTTAAACATATATATAAGTTGAGGGTAAATCAATCAATTACAAGTTTATAACTGTTTTCAGATGGTTCCTTCAATGTCCTCGAGATTCGATTGAATAAGTATTTGTGAAGAAGAGATTAAGACTTTACCTTGGCTTTTTTTTTGCTGGCACTGAACCATACATCCTATATAAGTTCTGAAGAAGTTTTATGTTTAAACTTATCGTTTGAAGTGAAAAATATTTGAATCTACATATAAAATTGATGAAACAAAATCTAAATTCTCTGCTCTATAGATTTTCATAAATGGAGTTTAAAATATATCTATAATAAATGCACCGTTTCAAATGTATATATGAGAACAACTACTTATAAACTGTTACGCTTCGCATGCTATGTGGTGTAGAGACATGCATCATAAATTCTTAAAGCTTCTAAAAGCTTTCTTTGACAAATTTTATACTAACTTCATTACAACAAGTTTAAAGTCATAAATATATATGTGACCCGCCATGACATTCCAAGGCTTATGGAGGTAGAACGTCATTGTGAGAAAAACGCCGTTAACTATATGTGACTAGTTTATAAAATACAAAATTATTGTATTTCATTGGCGCTTAGTAATCTTCAACAGCGTATTGTATACAAATTTCAAATGAATTAGCTTACTAAATTACAAACAGTTCTAAGCTCTCTTTTAGAAAATGACTTTAAACTTGTTGTAATGAAAGCTTTTAAGAATTCATAACCTGGACTTTTTACGATAGTATGGGGCTGTCAATTTTATGTTTACAGCCCCATTTTAACCTTAATGACCCTTTTCTGAAATACAAAATGTAGTACAATTTTAAAGATTTAGTCCTTGCAAGCGCTCAAAACTTTTCCAAAACACTATAGTTGCACTGGTTCTTCTGTACTCAAAATAAACTATAGCCATTTTTATGAATCTGTAGCAAAACATGCAAAGAAAAATCTGCAGTGAATTAAAATTTGCTCTTGACATGTAAGAGTCGGCCAACATTTACGACAAGATTAGAATGATGAACAAAAAGAGACAGAGGATACCAAAGGGAAAATAAAAAGAAGTCGAAGAGAAATGTCAATACAGTGGCAAAAAGCAAAGAATTGATAAACAACAGTTTATAATGCACTACATAGAAATCTTAAGACTGATCACACAATTGTTAATGCGAACTTTTTATAAATACTTTTAATAAAAACTATGAAAACACCTTACCTGTGCCATGTGACAGAACTATTCGTCAGTGTTTGTAGATAAGTAAACAGGTACAACATATTTTCCGCATACAACTTATTATATTTTTGCGCATGTCTGTTTATAAAGAATGAACTTTGTACTATGATATCTTAAAGTATTTGAAGAATTCGTAAACATTCCGAAGACTTTATATATATATATTAACATATGTTTTAAAGGTGGGCTTTTTCGTTAAAACATATATTTATGAAAAACTATCAGGTTTAAACCATCATTTTCTTCGGAAAATGCCTGTACCAAATCAGGAATATGACAATTGTTTTTCAGTCGTTGCGTTGGTTGATATAATCAAGCGTTTGTTTTTGGAAGTTTTATTGGGACTTCCTTCTTTTTTAATTTACCTTGGAGTTCAGTAATTTTGTTATAACATTTTTAAAATTTAATCTAATTTAATGGCCGCTGGTTTTGTTATCATGCCCGATGAAATAACATATTTCTCATGGGATTAAGTAATGCGAAATTTTGTCATTATTTTGTAATAGGCTGCTTCACTACTTCACCTTTTGCTATAGTAGTATTGAGTTGACGATACAACATATACGTTTTTCCGTTCCATTGTCTTGTGCTTTAAAAACTTTTAAGGTACTGGTCATTAACAAATATTGCAAAGCTTTTGTTAATGGCAGTATTAACTATGTCTTGATCGTAAAAAAAGAAGTCATTTTAGATCTTGAAAACGCTACTTTTCTTTGAAGATTTATTCAGGTTATCTTTCATTGTCAGTTGTGATTTATCTACTCTCAATATTAGAGTAATGACATTAAAAAGAAATTTTTCTACTTATGTATTAGTGGATTTTTTATAAGTTTTGTGTAACCATATATGTTGAAGTCGGTCGATAAATTCCATTTTAAAGTAATAAAACTTCAACATTTGTATTAGGTTTTGAACTTTCAAATAATGGATGAGGATAAACTGTGTCCGTCTTGAGTTGGTAAATAACTTGTCTAAAAAATCAATTCTTTTTAATTTGTTTTTCTTTATAGGTTCCCAGGATATTGGGAATAAGATGCTTTTACTTTTACATTGAAGTGTACCGGATATGCTTATGGATAGGTATAAATGGTTTGTTGAACGGTATGCTGATTGGGTATATGCGTCAATATCATGATAAAATCATGTTTCGTCGTCAAAATAATTGCATCTTGCCCGCACAAATGTACAGTACTGTTAAATCAATATTCGATAAACTAGTATGGCTGTTTAAAAGCTTGTCTGCTTTCAGCTTCTGTGTAAAGTTTTACAGCGATAACAGGTCAAATGACATTTAATGCAAGTATATTACTATGAAACATAGGCTTTGAACTTATAATATTGTGCAACCTGTGTGATTTAATAACTTTTTACTTTAAATTTTTTTATATAGGAGGCACAATGCTCACGGGATACTTTTGTTTTTGAATTCTAACAAATTCAGGATCATGAGTAAAAAGTTAGCCTTGCTCTACACAGTTTTTGTAATCGATTAAAAATTAGAAAGCATGAGATATACCTTCATTTACCTATCTCTGTCTGGATTTGATCTTCTCCAAAAGATGCATCCATCCCACTACTTATACCTACCTAACCATTATCTCTGACATATAACTCAAGTAAAACCATTGAAGCGTGAAATGTAGGTGATAGTGACGATATTTTGTAAAATTGTTAATCTACTCCCCATGCATGTTAATCTACACAAGTTGATCTGTATTGTTTTACTTGAAATTACTGTAATATGGACTCGGGCGTAAGTATCTGTCCAAAGTCGATGGAGCTTGATGATCTTTCTTTGACATGATACTGACCTATTCCGCAGTTTACATCATACCTTAAGTTTAATTAATCATGTTACTTATAGTCCAAGGAATATGAGCTCTGACGTTTAATTGCACAAAAATTAACTTGGACGTTACCCACAACAAGTCTTTATACATTAAATATGAACCATTGTTTGCAACACACATATGGACTTCTTCTTCTTTAAGTTTCTAGCGATCCTTCATCAATTGAAGATTATTCGCCGGGCGTCGACTTTAAAGTTGGATTTATGATTTACAAGGCAACAAGAAAAAGAAACAAAATTAAAATCAAAATAATATATGTACATTTGAAAAATAACATTTAGATAACACTATAAACATTTGATAACGATAACAGTTAAGGGTAGAAAATAGGGATTAGAGCAAATTCTGAGATCATCCTGTTGAAACCCTGTACTGTACTGCATGAAACTACTAGTTGTGACAATTGATTCCAATTTATAACTGTACGCGGATAAAATGCATATTTACAACTGTCTTTAGATGTTTGTATTGGCCAAAATGCGTGGGGATTGTTATATCTGGTTCTATTGTCTAGTGGGATCAAAAGATTAAATGTAGGGACTGCAACAATTTCGTGTATAATTTTGTGAAAGAAACAAGTATGTAACTTAAACGACTAATTTCAAGTGGGTACCAATTTAAGTCTGTCATCATATCAGTAACTTAGCTGGTGTTGTGAAAGCGGTTGCAAGGGAAGCGGGTTGCTCTTTTCTGTACTGTTGTTTTTGATGTGGATCCCAAAAGGTTGAGCAGTTACTCTAATTTTGGTCGGACAAGAGCTTTGAATGCATGATCTTTGGTTTTAGGTGAGGCTGTTTTAAGGTTTCTGCGAATAAATCCAAGAGACTGTGACTCTTTTTACAAAACATCTTACGATTCAAATTGATCGTAAGTTATACTGAAATGTGAATGACTTACGAGAATTTTACTTTTAAGATTTTTTGTGAAAAGAACCCCTGGTTTGCTTTTGATGTCATGTTATCGATATATTTATCCCATTTTAAGTTTGATTGAAGAGTTAGGCCTACATATTTTGTAGAGTCAACTTTTTCGAGTGAGTGATTATGTAAAAGAAATCGACAAATTTATTTTTCTAAATTGCTTGAATGTTAATTCCTCAGGATGCTTTGATCAATTTTGACCGAAGCGATACTGAGATTCCATATGAGAGTTATCTCCCCTTTTGTATTTGTCATAAGAGATATATACAAGTAACTCATGAACCGTTAGTGATAGAGACCTCGGGTATCTTAATTTGAGGTCCTTGGTCCACCAAATAGAAAATGGTGTCAAGGTCATAGGTCAAGGTCATGATTTAAATTTTGCCCTTTGCTTGTGTGTGCATCTTTTCTCATACTATAAAATCTGGAAATGAAATAACTAGTGCTAAATATTTGGGTTGTTGAGACGAAGATATGGTACATTCAGTCTGAAGCGATCTGATTATATCTTAGTGGAGTAATTTCCCCTGAAATGTTAAAAATTAAGGTAAATTGCTTATTTCTTCAATATGGTACATGATAAACCCATGGGGTCTTTCGCAAAACGTTGGGTGACATATAACCTTTAAAGATATTTACCGGAAGTGGCCTTGAGTAGATCGAAAGTAGCAATTTTTGCACTTTGTTCAAAGTAAAGTACCTAAAAACCATATTTTTATTTTAATACCCATATATAAAACTATCATTAGAGACCGGAAGTGACCTTCTATAAAGTGGAAGTAGCTTATGATCTCTCTATTTTAGGCAAATTATATAGAAACCATATATTTGGAATCAGTAATAATAAAGCTATCATTAGAGACAGGAAGTGACATTTTCTTAACCGGAAATAGAAAATTTCTCCCTTATTTCATGCAAAAGTATATAGATACCATATATTTTTGGAATCAGTGCGAATAAAGCTATCACATTAAACTTGAGGGGACATTTTCTAGCAAACTATCTCCCTTATTTTAGACAAAAGTATATACAAGACTTATATTTTTAAATATGAAGAACTCCATGATTGGGCGCCAATAGTAACTTTGAGTAAACCGGAAGTAGCTTCTGGTAATTTATTTTAGAAATTTAGTGTGAAAAGATCTTCAATTGTTCTCTGGACAATTGGTTTTTAATTTGTCATTTAATTCTTAAATGTATCTATATGATTATTTACTCAATATCGTTATTTTTCAGGTGCGATAAATTAGTAAAAATAAGTACATGATATCAAACATGTTGTTTTGTAAAAATGACTTATTCTAAAAATAATATCTAACAGCTGACTGGAACAGTTTACTTTATTGTAATGCTTCTTAATCAATATAGGAGTTCGTTAATTAGAATGTTAATAAAATTATTTTTATTTTAGTTAACTATTTGAAGCATCCTTCGAGTCAGCTATGAGGTAGTTTTGAAATAAATAATTTTGTGCTGTCATTATGTTTGTGTATGTGTTGTTTTGTTTGAATATAATATATTGTACCTTGGTTTATGGAGAAGGCTAATATAGGCTTTGCCCAATCCAATTCAATTTATTTAAATAAAATAAATTTTAAACATTATCATATAATTTGTAAGTGAAATCTAAAGGTTTTCGTGTTTGTGTTACACTGAGAACGTTGCATTTATCAGGGTGAAAATACATGATCCAGTCCCGGTCCCATCTGCCGGCCGCTTCTAAATCAGACTGTATTTTATTTGTGTCATCCGGTTTCTTAATTTCCATAAAAATAATACTGTCATCTACGAATAATCTTAATGTAGTATGTTTGATATATCCTGACAAATCATTAATAAATATTAAAAATACTCCAGATGTTACAGGAATCTTATTTCATGTTTCACCTTCAAGGACTACTGTTTGTGTTCTGTGTGTTAAAAGTCTTGAATCCAATGTAAAGCATTGTAATTTTATACCATAGTAGCCGATTTTATACATGAGGTGAGGATGTGAAACTTTGCCAAATGCTTTAGCAAAATCCATTATGATTTGAATTTGCAAGATCTTGAATAAATGATATCAACTGAGTTTCACAAGAACGGGCTGATCAAAAACCATGTTGTAAGTCATATAGCATTTAATTTTTTTCTAGATGTTTCATGGTATTACTAGCTACAACATGTTCTAAGAGTTTTTTGCAGATGCATGTTAATGATATGGGGCGATAGTTTACACCGTGTAGAACGCCACATGCGGAGTGTTGGCTATGTTTGACACGGGGTGATAGTTTTGAAGC